AAGCCGCCCCCGACGCCCCCGAGGCGGTGGGCGCCGACCCCGAGGAACAGGAGCCGGCGCCAGTGATCATAAAAAACTGGAGGCTAACATGCACCGCAAAGCTGCGATCGAAGAGGGGAGGAGGAGGAGGAGGAGGAGGAGGAGGAGGAGGAGGAGGAGGAGGAGGAGGAGGAGGAGGGCCCGGGATACCAGCCACGGCTGGCCTCAGAGGGTGAGGCCGGAGCACACAATCGTGGTGTCCCTGTGACAGCCCCCAGAATACACACCCGCCGTCCGCAGATCCCCACGGCGAGGTGCCCTGCTCGTCGACCGCGGCGGCCTCGTGCCGAGAACGTTGGACACACTGGTAGTCTCCAGGGAGGCCTCGGCATGCTCGGAGCTGGACTCCGCCAAAATCGTGCCGCCGGTGCTGCTGCGCGTGGTGGTGCTGGCCCCAGCCGTGGAGGTCCACGCGGTGCTGCCAGATGCGCTGGTGCAGCTGCGGCGTGGCGGCCGTGCTGCGGCCCTCACCTGACGTCCTCCCGGCAGGTGCTGCCTGCGGTCGTCGTCAGGGCGCCGATGCAGACGCATATGTACTGGTAGTCCGGGGAAGCCTCGACCACAACTGACTACCTACCAGACCACCCCAACCCAACCCGAAGACCCGAATTTAAATCGAATTTCGGGTTGGGGGGGGGTACGGGTTCCATGTGTTCTTACAGTGTTCCCCGACCCCCCCACACTGGAAATGGAAGGCAAATTGTAGCCTTCAGGTTGGGTTGGGGTGGTTTGGTGGGTGGTGAACAACCACCACCGCCACCACCATCACCACCACCACACACGCAACACATCGACACCACCACAGGCACAGGCCCCTCGCTGGCACACGACGGGGTGGTGGGTTAACAGCATCAGGAGTCCAGAGCTCTATGGTTACCAGCATCACGACATTGTGCGGTGTGGTGGGTTGCAGCAGCACGAAAACGAGCAACACGTCGGGTGATAACAGCACGATGCTGAGCAGCACGACCAACTCCAGCAATACGACGTTGACCACCACAAGTGAGGGCAGTAGCGCGGCCGCCACGGGCAGCAGCACCAGACCACTAACAGCGCCATTCTGATTCCCACGACTGGGACCAGCAGCACCACGCGCAGCAACAACAGAGGTACTAACAGCCGAGGTGGTGACGGTGGTGGTGGTGGTGGTGGTGGTGGTGGTGGTGGTGGTGGTGGTGGTGGTGGTGGTGGTGGTGGTGGTGGTGGTGGTGGTGGTGGTGGTGGTGGTGGTGGTGGTGGTGGTGGTGGTGGTGGTGGTGGTGGTGGTGGTGGTGGTGGTGGTGGTGGTGGTGGTGGTGGTGGTGGTGGTGGTCGTGGTGGTGGTGACGGTGGTGGTGATGGTCGTGGTGTTGGTGGTGGTGGTGATTTGTTGCGCATGTGGTGTCGATTAATTGCTGTCTTTTCTGGTGCTTGTGTTGTGATGTCGATTTGTTGAATTGGTGGAGGCGTTGGGGCTTGTAGTTAGCCAGGATGCTGTTCGAGTCTATGGCCGTCGCCAGCGACGTACAGCTGACCCTGTGGACGATCGTAGAGCGCGTCGTGCAGGCGGATGTGCCAAACCTTGTGGTCGCCCTATTGGACAAGCCTCTGGTGGTCGTTGATACAGCGGTTCTCGTCGTAATCGTTGTCACGGGCGCCAGGATGTCTGGGACAGGCAGCCGCACTCCCATGTGGTGCTGAACACGCCAGCGTGGCCCAGAGACGCCGTGGCCGGCGTGCTGCTCCGCAGAGGCGGCCTGCCGGTCCACCGTGACCCCTACGCATGCCTCGTCATTCATCCCAGAACTCGTGTGAGCACTCCGTCACGCTGGTCAAGGAAGGAGGCCTTCAGAGAAACTCGGGAGGCCTCCGAGAAGCTTGGGCAGGCCCCGAAGACCTCCAGAGACCTCCTCCTCTCCTCCAGCTTCCCGCGTGCCCGGCCGACCGAGCGAAGTGATCCGGAGCCGGCGCACACCCCCACCTCAGCTCCCACGAAGCAGCCCCCACCGCAGGCGACACGCGAACGGCGGCCACTCCTGGGGCCTAGGAGCACGGGTGCGCCGGCCATGGCCTGTAGACTGAGCTTGCCCCGGAGCGCAGCCGGGACTCTGACGTGGGCGGCGGTGACAGCGACCGACGACGATCGTCGTCGTCGTCGACGTCGTCGTCGCCGCCGCCGCCAGTGACGCCGCCGTCGTCGTGTCGTCGCCGGCCAAGGGCGGCGGACAGCGGCGGCGGCCAGCGGGCGGCGGCCAGCCGGCCACACGGGCGGCGGTCCTGCGCCACCACCAGAGGCGTCTCAGCTCCCGACGGGGCCGGCTGCGGCACCGCCCGCGCCGCGGCGCCTTTCTCGGGTTGCCCTGAAACCCGACAACGACGTCGACGATGACGACGACGTCTTGTGCGTCTTTTATTGCACGTACGATTCGGAAATCTAGAAATACTATGTTGGCCAGCGTGGACCCCAAAAATTGCATGTGCTTCCAGCAATCTATGCGGAGCAAGATATTTGAAGCAATTTATGTTGTGCAATCTTCCGCAAATAGTGTTTGCACCTTTAGGGATTACTACTTGTGTTCTAGGAAAGTGGGCGGGGTTGTCAGTCTGGCGGTTCCGTGCTCGCCATCGCCGCCCCGTCGCCGCCTCGTCGCCGCCCGTCGTCTGGGGGGGGTCTCTCGGTCTGGCGGCCACGTGCTCGCCGTCGCCGCCCCGTCGCCGCCCCGTCGCCGCCCGTCGTCTGGGCGTGGCTGTCGGTCTCGCGGCGCCGTCCTCGCCGTCGCCGCCCCGTCGCCGTTGTCGCCCCGGCCCGTCGCCGCCTCGCATAGTTTGCACCGCATACGTTTTCATGTCTAAAAACGAGCTCGGATCTACCACCCTCCCGAAGCCGGGATAATCGGCACAGGGCAGTTTTTTACACATAGGATGTTTAAACGAATATAGGGTTTTTAATACATGATTGCTTTGTGAATAAATTTATGCATGAACTCATCGTTGTTTTTAGTACTAACCTGCGTTTTTTTATACATGATCCGCACGCGGAGCATGTATTAGAAACGGCACTGTACCCCCTGGGATGTGCAATTTACAGACGAGTCTGCCCCATCGCTCATTTTCAACACGAAGCCACGTTCGACCCCCCCCCTCACACACCATCCCCTGCAGAAAGCCATGTGCGCACACTCGTGCATCAAGAGTCCACCATTTTGAATCATCCCTGGCAAGAAATGACGAATTGCACAAGCGCGCCGTCTCGCGCGCATGACGACATCCTTCCAAACCGTAGGCGACGCAGGAATTTCAAAGTCGAGCGGCCCCAAAACATAACATGATTTCTAGAAACAACAAAAACTGCGCGCGTTCACGCGAGTTTTTGAACCAAGAATTGGATGTCCAACATTTCCTTCAAACGCGACCACGCGGGCCCCAAGCGCGCGCATGTCAAAATCATTCGAACGCCCCTGCGCGCGTGCTGGGGGGCACAATCGCTGTCAAATAACACCATGCGGGCCACTCGCGTCCGTCGGCCGCGGGCGCATGTCAAAAATCCCTCCAGAATCTTCATCACCCACGTGTGGACACCATCATCGCCATCGACTTGATCAGCGTCGGCCCCGTCACTGACCGTGCCGTCGTCATCGTCATCGTCGTCGCCAGCACCGCTACAGGCATCATCATCGTGTCTGCCGCTGTCGACGTCGCCATGATTAGGGAGCCCACAAAGGACGTACGCGCCCAGCTATGTACATGAACACGGCCCCTCGATTCGCGAGACCGGCCGCGTTATACGAACATTTGTGCAATGCGTGCTCTCGAAACCAGCGTGGATTCATGTACATGTACGTCCTTCTTTCGCTCCTGAATGATGGCGCGCCTGCCCGGGCCACCGACTCGCACTGAAGTCCACGTGCGTCAGCGCGGGCTGCGAGAAGCGCTGGAAGTCCCCAGCGGTTATCAAGGGGCCCAAGGACACACAAATAAATACACACAAATACAATGATTCCCCATATTTTCCCATATTCTCTGGGTTTTTGTCTTCCCCCCCACTTCGCATATTTTTGCATATTTTATGGGGAATCGACGATTAATTGTGTCCGTGTGTTTTTGTCCCCTCCTGAGGTTAGCGCCAGGGCGCCCGCGTCGACCGCGCCAGACGTTGGCTGGCCGCTCTGCGCACGGGCCTCCCGTGCATCTTCTCCGAGCACGCCGGCGTCCATGAGAATGCGGGATGACGATTATAATAAAGGGAGGGGGGTCTCATTTCGGGGGGGGTCTCTTCCAGGCTATCTTGGAGGGCCTGGGGGGTCTGGGGACGATGTTTTGGAGGGTTCTCCCACGGGGGAGGTCTGAAATGGCTTGTCTTGGAGGGTCCAGACCCCCTCCCTTTTATTACGAACTCTGGAGCAATAAAAAAATGGGAGGGAACGATTTTAAAAAATAGTTGTCTGCTACTTCTGCACAATTTCCTGACTGGAGGAGAACGATGAAAGAAATAGTTGTCCAGCCCGCGGCCGGTTTTTTCGAATCGTCATCCCGGGCGCCACCGCGTGAACACGACCCCCGGTCAGTTATTAATCGTCATGCTCCATTAGGCTGGAGGGCCTGCTTGAACTGTTCGACTGTGAAGTTCTGGCCAGCAGGGCCTACGGCCTACGATAACGGACGTGTGCGCAGGACGGCCCCCTTCGATGAGATCTTGATAGTCCTCGATCGGGACCTGAGCTTCCTGCAGGTAGAGTTGCGGTCACAGTTCCGAGATGTGTGCACGCATCTTGTCTCGATAACGTTCTAGCTGGTATGTGGCACGTTTGATGGATCTGATTTCAGAACTGAACTGTTCATTATGTTTGTGCTGCGTTGCGACAACCGGACCGTCCAGAGAGGGCCACGAAACCTGGGAGCAGCGGCGCCAACTGATTTGTTAGCGGTCCAAGGAGATCCAGTCTCGATGAGCTCCGCCGTGTCCATGGATTCCTCTTCATCCCCTATGCCTTCAGAGGATGGTCCCTGAACCAAGAGCGGATGCCCTTCTCACAGCTGCAATGACAAGAGCAGGCGACCAGAAAAGGTGTATGTCCAAAGGCTGGCGCATGATGGGCAGTCGCTGGAAATTGTTTCGCAGTGATGGGCGGGAGGGCGAACAGAAGCCCCGTGGACTCGTGCTGCTGCCCACCCCCCACCACCTTGAGCCAACATGAATGCGGGTTGCGTGCGTAGACATGAAGCCAAACAACGCCTTCGATCCTCGAATCTTGGTTCTCCTCCTCCCCCTCTTCTCCTCCTCCTCCTCCACCTCGATCCCCAAACCTCGATCCTCGGAGACAGGCGGGCCTGGCATGCCCGGGGTCTCGGCCCCCTCCAGGACCTCGGTGTTCGGGGCGGCCTCTGGCTGAGGCGCGGTCGCCGGCAACCGTCGCACGTCCTCGTCGGCAGCCGCGGGCGTCTACTGTCATCGTCGTCGCCGCCGCCGTCCTCGCCGACGTCGGCGTGGTCACCGTCGCCGCCGTCGTCGCCGCCGCCGTCCCCGCCGCCGTCGTCGTGGTCACCGTCGCCGCCGTCGTCACCGCCGCCGCCATCAGCAATCCTTGTCGTCGTCGTCGTCTGTCATCGTCATCGTCATCGTCGTCGTAGGCTATCGTCGTCGTCCAGCGGCCATCGTCGTCGTCGTCGACGCCGACGCACCACCATCGTGTGGCGCGTCTGAAAACAAGGTCCTGAACGCCCGCTGTCGCCCGGGGAGAGGAGAAAAGAAAAACAAAAGAAGAAAAACAAAAGAGTGCGCTCATGATCGCCGCCGACGCGTTCGGCGGGGCCTCTGGCTGCGGCGCGGCCGCGGGCACTCCCGGGCCGTCCGCGCGGGGCGTGCTGGGTATCCTCATGCTGGCGTCCCCGCCGGGCGTGGTGGGGATCCTCGTGCTGGCGTCCCCGCCGGGCGTGCTGGGTATCCTCATGCTGGCGTCCCCGCCGGGCGTGCTGGGGATCCTCGTGCCGGCGTCCCCGCCGGGCGTGCTGGGGATCCTCATGCTGGCGTCCCCGCCGGGCGTGCTGGGTATCCTCGGGCGTTGCCCATCAGGTGGTGGCGACAGCTCGGGGGGGCGAAGGAGCGTGCACCTCCCGTGCCCCCTCTGGGTCCCAGGGGCCCATTTAGGGCGCAGAAGGTAAAGCTTTCATCACCCCCCGATAATCGCCCCTCCGATTACGCAACGCCCGCATCCTCATGCTGGCGTCCCCGCCAGGCGTGCCCGGCATCCTGTCGGTGGCAACTCGGGGGAGCCTCCCATACCTTCTTCCTGGCTCTTGCGGATCAACGCTGGTCGACGCCACTCGACGCTGAATCCACACTCATCGAGGCTAACCGACGCTGATCGGCGCTATCTCATCGATCACCAAGCGCTAATCGACGCCAGCGCCCTCGAAAGACTAAATTTCGAGGGCGGACGAGGCTCCGATGATTTGCTACCAAACATCCTCATGCTGGCGTCCCCGCCGGGGGTGCCAGGCATCCTCGTGCCGGCGTCCAGTCCAGGCGTGCCCGGCGCGCTCCCGAAGTGCAGCGCCGCGCCCGGAGTCATCGGCAGCGCGCCGAAGCCGCCCGGTGTTATCGCCGCCACGTTGCCGCCCAGGAACGGCTGGAAACCTCGGGAGAGGGGCCCTGAGATCCAGGCGTCGCAGTGCTTTCGCGCAGGGAGTTTGCGCCTGGCTCAGGGCCCTAGCGCCCTGTCAGATCGATCCGCCTCCAGGAGTGGCGCAGGCAGATGGGGCCCAGGGCTCCGTCGGTGATCTTCCGCAGCCTGGCGTGAGTGTTCGCGACGTCGGATCTCATGGAAGGGGGGGCGCGCGTGGAGGACGCAAGCTGGGCCGGGCCCAGGTAGGCCAACGCCGGAAGTCTATGCGAACACGAGGAGCATGTGCGGCCGAGGAATCAGGCTGCTGGGACTGTTTCGGGCCTGCTTTCTGTGCGGCTTCGGTAAAAGAATGTGTCGTCCGGTTTTTTCTCCGGGTGCCCGCCATATCTCTTCGCGCTGCCCACCTACTGTGTGTAAATCCGCCATCGTGCCCCTGTGGCGCGAAGTTGAATGTCCCCAGGTCCCTCCCTCGATCCCCCGAGTCTCAGTCCTCAGTCCTGCGGATTATTCTGGGGGCCTGGGCCCCAAATTGCCACTCTCCAGGGACCTGACGCGTGACCCCTTGGGCGCGTCGACGCTTCTTGCGTGACTTGTTCGGCCCCGAAACAAGGCCCCGGGACAAGCCAAGAGGGCCCGAAGAGGCCCCAAGATGGCCCAAGAGGGCCCCGAGTCTCCGCACGATGGGCCCAAGATGGCCCCAAGACGGCCCAAGAAGCCTTCGAGACGCACTAAGAGGCCTCAAGAGCCATCCCAAGAGGGCTCGGAGGCGAAAAACAGTAACGTCGATTCGGTCTTCAACGTGTTTCGGGTTCTCCACTTTTCCAGCTTCTGACGCTCCAAGACGTCCCAAGAGGCCCCAGGAGGGCCCCAAGACGGCTCAAGCCCCAAGGCGGCCCAAGATGCGCCCAAGACGACCCAAGAGAGCCCCAAGGAGGCCCCAAGAGGGGCCCAAGAGGGGGAACCCGAACAAAAAATCCGAGCCTGCCCCAAGAGGCGCCCAAGAGGCCCCGAGAGAGGCCCCGACGAGGCCCCCACGAGGCCCCCACGAGGCCCCCAACAGGCCCAAAGGAGGCCCCACGAGAGCACCTCAAAACTGCCTCCGGGAGGCCCCCGAGAGGCCCCCGAGACCCCACGAACCTCCAAGAGGCCTCAGGCCAACAGCCCAGGGCACGGTGGCCGGCCCTGGCGTGCACTCCCCTCCCCATGGGAGTTCGGCCCGGCGCGCCGGCCCACTGGAGCGCTTGCCTGGAGCCGGTTGGCGAGGATTTCCGCGCTCCAAAGGGGTCAAACAGGGCCCAAGATGGGCTCCAAGACGGCCAAGATGGCCTCCAGGTTCGCCCAAGGTGGTCCAACATGGCCTCCCAGACGGCTCAAGAAGGTAAAACATGCCTCCGAGTCCACCCAAGAAGCGTCCAAGGCGGCCCAAGACGTTCCAAGAGGCCCCAAGAGGCCTCTAAGACGGCTCAAAAGGCCTCCAAGAAGTCCTCCAGGAGAGCCCAGATAGGCCAAAATGATTGAACCTTAGTCGGTTATTGAAGGATTTTGCCCTTTGCTTTTTTTCGGCCTTGCGACAGCCCAAGACGGCCCAAGAGGTCCCCAAGATCGCCCCAAAATGGCCCCCAAAGACCTCCAAGATGACCCCATGATGGCGCAAGAAGTCTCCAAGACGACCCCAAGAGAGCCTCAAGACGGCCAAAAGGCCTCCAAGACGCCCACGATGGCCTCCGAGACTGCCCTGAAGCGCCCCAAGAGGGCCTCAAGTCGGCTCAGGGAGGCCCTCAAAACGGCTTCTGACGGCGTCGGACGGACCAGGAACGCCCCAAGACGGCCAAAGAGACCCCGAGGCCCAAGGAGACTTCCAAAAGGCCCAAAAAAAAACACTAGAAGCTCCCAGAAGGCCCCACGAGTCCCTCCTCCTCCTCCTCCTCCTCCTCCTCATCATCATCATCATCATCATCATCATCATCATCACCACCACCACCACCACCACCACCACCACCATCATCATCATCATCATCAGCAGCAGCAGCAGCATCATCATCATCATCATCATCATCAGCAGCAGCAGCAGCATCAGCATCAGCATCATCAGCATCAGCATCAGCATCAGCATCATCATCATCATCATCATCATCATCATCATCATCATCATCATCATCATCATCATCATCATCATCATCATCATCACCAGAAGCATCATCATCACCATCATCAGCAGCAGCAAAAGCAGCAGCAGCCTCCTCCTCCTCACCCTTTTCCTCATCCACCTCCTCCTTTTCGTATTGCTTTTCCTCCTCCTGCTCCTCCTCCCCCTTCTCCTCCTCCTCATCCTCCTTCTCCTTCTCCTCCTCCTCCTCCACCTCCTCCGCCTCCGCCTCCGCCTCCGCCTCCGCCTCCTCCTCCTCCTCCTCCTCCTCCTGCTCCTCTTCTCCCTCCTCTCCTCCTCCTCCTCCTCCTCCTCCTCCTCCTCCTCCTCATTCTCCTCCTCCTTCCTCATCCTCCGCCTCCTCCTCCTCCTCCTCCTCCTCCTCCTCGTCCTCCTCATCATCATCATCATCAGCATCAGCAGCATCATCATCATCATCATCATCATCATCAGCATCATCGTCATCATCATCATCAGCATCCTCATCATCATCATCAGCAGCAACAGCAGCATCATCAGCAGCAGCATCATCATTATCGTCATCATCATCATCGTCATCATCATCGGCAGCATCATCATAAGCATAAGCATCATCATCATCATCATCATCATCATCATCATCATCATCATCATCGTCATCACCATCACCAACATCATCATCAGCATCCTCATCATCATCATCGTCATCAGCATCAGCATCATCATCAGCATCATCAGCATCATCATTGGCGTCATCATCATCACCATCATGACCATCATCATCATCAGCATCATCTGCACCAGTTCCATCACCATCACAATTATCAGCATCATCATCATCATCACCATCATCACCAGCACCATCGTGATCATTATCAGCATCATCAGCATCAGTATCATCAGCAGCATGGTCATCAGCATCAGCATAAGCATCGTCAGCATCATCGTCATCATCAGCAGCATCATCATCAGCAGCATCATCAGCAGCATCAGAAAACAACATGAGCAGCATCGTCATACTCACCATCATCGTCAGCAGCAGCAGCATCAGCAGCAGCATGATCATGATCGTCGTCGTCATCATCATCATCAGCATCATCATAATCATCAGAATCAGCTTCATAATCATCATCAGCAGCATCAGCATCAGCATCATTAGCAGCATCAGCAGCATCACCATCAACATCAGCATCATCATCAGCATAACCATCATCATCAGCGTAAGCATCATCAGCATCGTCAGCATCATCACCCTCGTCATCACGCATCATCGGCAAAATCAGCATCATCCTCAGCATCGGCATCATCAGCATCTTCAGCATCAGCAGCATCGTCAGTACCATCAGCATCATCATCAGCGGCAGCATCATGTGCATCATCATCATCAGCATCATCATCAGCAGCAGCAGCACCATCGCAGTCAGTATCATCATCAGCACCAGCATAATCAACATCATCGGCACCAGGGTCACCACCACGACCACCATCGTCACCATCGTCATCAGCATCAGCATCAACATCAGCATCATCATCATCATCATCATCATCATCATCATCATCATCATCATCATCAGCATCATCATCATTGTCTACATCATCATAGGCATCTTCATCCTCCACCTCCTCCTCATCCTCCTTCCCCTCCTCCTCCAAGTCCTCCTCAGCATCCTCTTACTCCTCCTCCCCTTCCCTCTCCTCCTTCTCCTCGTCCTCCTCCTCCTCTTCCTCGTCCTCCTCCTGCACCTGACCCTCCTCATCCTCCTCCTCCTCCTCATCCTCCTCCTCCTCCTCTTCCTCCTCCTCCTCCGCCTCCTCCTCCTCCTCCTCCTCTTCCTTCTCCTCCTCCTGATCCTCCTCCCATTCATCCTGCTCTTCCTTCCTTCTCCTCCTCCTCCTCCTCCGCCTTCTCCTCCTCCTCCTCCTTCTCCTCTCCTCTCCTCCTCCCCCCCCCCTCCTCCTCCTCCTCCTCCTCCTCCTCCTCTCCTCCTCCAGTTCCCCCTCCTCCGCCTCTCTCCTTCTCCTCTTCCTTCTCCTCCTCCTGATCCTCCTCCATTCATCTGCTCTTCCTTCCTTCTCTCCTCCTCTCCTCCGCCTCCTCCTCCTCCTCTCCTCCTCCTCCTCTCCTCCTCCCCCCCTCACCTCCTCCTCCTCCTCCTCCCTCCTCCTCCTCCGCCTCCTCCTCCTCCTCCAGATCCCCTCCTCCGCCTCCTCCTCCTCCGCCTCCTCCTGCTTGTACAGGACAGATCGAAGGAGAATGAAGGTGAGGACCTGCAGCGGACAGCTATCCACCACGCCAAGGAAGTGCTGACAGTAGAATGAGATGTTCCTCCCTCCTCATCCCTCCTCCTCCTCCACCTCCTCCTCCTCTTCCTCCTCGTCCTCGTCCTTGTCCTCCTCCTCCTCCTCCTCCTCCTCCTCCTCCTCCTCCTCCTCCTCCTCCTCCTCCTCCTCCTCCTCCCTCACCCTTCTCCCCGTCGTGCGGGTCGGCGCTACAGCGCACGTGCGCATCTCAGCGGTCACCGCAGAGTGATTTATTGAATCAGTCCAATTGATCCTTCGGCGGCCAATTCTGCGGGAGTCTTCTGGACGCAGATGGGATGAGTTAGGATGGTGCGGGAGGCTTCGGGAGGACTCGTAGATTCCAGCGGCGCTCCTTTTTCCATACGGAATCCTGTCTGTCCAAATCCTGAATAAAATGATACCGGAGAAAAAACCCAATCAGAATTTGCTTGGGGCTATAGGGCTATAGAGCTATTGGGCTATAGGGCGATAAGGCTACTATAGGGCTATAGGGCTATAGGGCGATAAGGCTACTATAGGGCTATAGGGCTATAGGGCTACAGGGCACCGGGCACCCGGGCACCCGGAACCCGGGCACCCACCCGG